GGAGGGGAGAAGGAAGTAGGAAGGTTGGAGGAGAGAGTGGTGAAAGAGAAGAGGAGAGGAGAGGAAGAAGAGGGAAGTAGGGAAGAAAGAGAAGGAAGGGAGAAAGAAGGTAGAGAAGAAGGAGTGGGGATGCAGTAAAAGGGGAAATGGGCGAGCAACACCAAAAGTCATGTGCATGTATTTATTTCATTAAAAGTATGTTATATATAAGAATGTAAAAAGAATGTATGTTAATATCTGATAAATATCACAGTATATGTATGGGGGAGAGTTTGGAAAAAAAAAAAAGAACTTCTCTTTAGCAAAGTGTGTGCTTTGAGCTATTCTCTGTGTGGTATTTATATGGAGCCTGGTTGTGTGTGGCTTGGGGTGTTGAGGGTGGCTATTAAATTGTTGGTTATTGTTTCCGTGTGCTGTCAAGCTCTCGCCTCCTAAATACTTGATAAGCTAGTGGTAAATCAGCACTCCTGTTGACTGACGAGGAGTCCGTTTCCCAGGCTTCAATCACTTTCTTGGCTGTTTTTGTCTCTACTCGTCCAACAATCTTAGTAGCTGCAAAACTGAATGTATGTCCTTATTTGTTGCAATGTTGTTTATGTAGTAGCTGTATTATACTTGGTATACTGACTGTAATTATATTTTGCTGAAAGTTAAAAAGTTGATTTTAATCTTTCAGCTTTAAATAGATTAACATTAAATAACCTGAAGGCTTACCTTCAGCCACACAAATTTGTTTGAAAGTTAATATCTCCAACCCACTCATTTGTTCACTACTATGAACAGTCAGATTACTGCATATCACTAACAATACATCTTTTCAACTGGTTCAGTTTTTTTAAGAATGAATTACCCAGAGATGTGCATCCAAGTCATAGCACAAGGACTTCAAAATATCCTGCAGCAGAATGCCTGTCTTCACTGATTTTTATTAATACTCTTTATTGCTACATTTGTTTTGTCTTGCGAGCCACCTTGACTGAAATATTTTAAGTAAATAAATAATATGAGCACATGGTTGGAACAATGCTTTGTTGCTGCTCAAGAAAAAGTGAGGGATAATTCTTATTTATCAACTTTATACTGAACTTAAGGCAGGTGATAATTCTATCTGCTCCACTGGTGTATGTTAATGGGTAGATGGTTACATTACCCTGTAAAATATACCTCACAGTACTGTTAAAGGTGCAACACTGAAATTGCTTCTTTTGCCAATCTGATCAAAGCACCAAGACTCTGTGGACACTGCTGGTAAAAACTTTTAAATCGATGTATAAAAAAATTCCAATGTAGTTCTGGGTTAATGACTTAATAGTTAAGCAGCACTTGTGATGATTTCAGTTTGAGATCCCAAGAATAAAAGTTCAAAGCTACTCTGTATTGTAACTTAGAACAACTATTCACCTGCCAAATGACTTAAAATGAAATGAAGCAATAGTTAAACTTACATGCCCTTGAATTTCTGTCATCTTTTCAGAATGCCAATCCTTCTGCCTGCTGGCTGGATGATTAGACGAGTGAATAGCTTTTTGTATTGCCAAAAGATCCTGATTGTCGCTTCCAGGCATCTGTAACATGGAACAATATCAATTCATTAATTCTTGGAAACAAATATCCTAAATTAAACCCTATCTCCCACTTCTCCCTGCTTCTCAGATCAAAGCAATGCAAGTGAACCCATTATTGCTATGCCCTTTTAAGATCTCTATATTGATAATTATATTTGTAGATGCCATGCATATTTTTATAACCTCCACCCTTAAGGCATTCACATGCTGTTAGTCAAATACTGCAAAAGAGAGAGAGCAGTTAAGCGTAGTGCTCTGTTTCACCCTCATTTTCAGGACATTACATATTGCTTTTAAGTTCATGAGCCATTTCCACAAAAACTATGTTTTTTTGCTAAGGAGAAAGATAACCAGTCATCAATTACTTTGGCAGTACCTTTATAAGGAAGAGTATTTCCCTTATCAAAGAAATAAGATTTAGCTTAACGTTTATTTATTAGTTAGAGAAACTGCTAAATAATGCAACATGCCAGCCTCAGAGAAAAACTTTGGCTGAATGTATCTTCTGAACAGTTTAGTCGTCCAAAGGGAGGTAGGCGATTGCTGGCTAAGACTCCTTTCTCAGCAAATAAAATTTAGGATTAAAAATTGTTAATCCATTAAATGTAGGGGGATTAGCTTTTATTTTACCAACAACATGCAGTTGGATAATTGATTATAGAGAAAATAAAGGCTTTTGAAAGTGTTCTATATCCAATGAAATTCAACTATGGCTAATACATCGTGTCTTCCTTTTATTTAGATAAAGGAAAGCAGTAAGGTTTATAAATAAAAATATTCCAATTGAAAAAAATAATTTCATACTATGGCTAATTACAAAAGAAGTTGTCTTTTATGTTTTATTAGATGTTTATTTATAATCCTGATGATAATATTGTTCATAATATTATATTTTCTTGAAATTTGGAGGAAAAAACCCCAGGTTCCCTGAATTTGTGGAATTGGCTCAAAATACTTAATTTGCGTGGAGAGTTTGATCCCGAGAAAAAAAATTGTACCCACACACACGCACACACTATAGTGGTAAGTAAAATAGATGTACTGTAGCAGGTTTTTTCAGTGCTATCATTTTTTAAAAGTTAATACCATAGGTAGAGGGACTACAGGATTCTTTTTCAAAGAAGAGCTATGCTTTAAATGATTCTTTGAAATAAAAAGAGGAAAGAGAGATTTCTTGATGCTTGGATTCTCCATCTTGGTAGATTCTGTCTGCAATATAAGATACAAAAACAAATTGCACAAATAATTCTAATTCAGGAGAGCTACCCTTGTCTTTTATTTGTTGAATTATACACGAAAGCTTCAATGATCACAGATGTTTAATCTAACTTTTTATAATTATGTCAAGATAAGACTAATTGCTCTGCTGAATAAGAAAAAGCTTTTGGAAGAAATAATTTAAGCTTAACTGCCCATGCAATATGCTTTAAGAATGTGCCTATCAAATGTATATATTTACTAAGTTTAGAATAAATACATTACTTTGTGTGGTTTAAGTTTTGCGTATGAACTATGACTATGGCTATTATAAAAATATCCCAAATTTTCATAAACAATAGGCAATTAAGTCCATATGTATCAATTTACTTCGACAACATTGGTTTTGTATAATTTTTGTTGAAGTTTGAAATGCAGCAAATCTGGAGAGAAACTGAGAAAATAACATATAAATGCAATTTAAAAAAAAATTATCTGGGTTCATAAAAACTATTTTCCCTCAATGGAAATGCAAACTTAAAGCTATATTTTTCAAAAGGCTGATTAGAAAATAAGACTTATTCAATACATGGGTCTTACTTAGGAATAAACATATAAAGAATTTCAGAAAAATGTATGCAGTAATTAAATGATATAGGAAGAAAACTAAGAAGTTCTTAAAAGATTTATCTGCTGGCAATAAAAAAATCTGATGCCCTTCATCTCTAACTCCCAAATCTTCATTGTAAATCAATACATTTAAAAATAATAGATAAAATGTTTTTTCTACTTAGTACAGTACTTGTTTACTATTTACTTATTATTTACCTATATCAATTTATAGAGACACCTGTCTCACAATCACAATTATTTCCTATATCCTACATGAATGGAGAAAAGAGGAAGGGATATTAACATGAAGTAAACTGGTGAAAAGATCATTTTTAAATAATAGTTGCTCTTTTTTTAATCATTGTTTAAATAGTTAATATGCTTCTTTGAAAGCACTGTTATCCTAAAAGGATAGATACAAATAATTGCAGCAAACCAACTTTCAAGGAGAAAGGCTCCATAGTACTTATTATTAAATTCATTCAAAATCCCAAAACTTTTCAGAATTTTATTCATGGCTACAGCATGGGATTTTTGTTTCTTAAATTCTTTATGGCAATAAAGATGGCTTCTTCTCCCTTTATTTCCCCATCTTATATCAATATATATGAACCCTATATCAGTTAACCCAACCCATGTTTCTGATGAAGTGAGCTGTAGCTCACGAAAGCTAACATCTTGTAATAACATTTCTTAGTCTTAAATAGTGCTACCAGACTCTTGGGATATTGAGCTCTATAAGTAACTAAAGTTGAACTTTATTTTAAATGAACAATCAAACATTTCACTGGCTACCTTAAGCTCTTTATATCAGGAATCTCAAACGGTGAGAAACAAGATGAGAGCATTAGCTTGGCCTTCCCTGTCTCATCATGGAGAAAATCTGTTTGTCATCATTAGGAGCAAAAAATTTCTCAGTATTACATAATCAATCAATCAATCAATCAATCAAACAAACAAACAAACAAACAATCCCTGTCCTACGTTTCAGTAATCAGCTTCTCTTTTAAATACAACTTTTTTCGGATGGAGCTGAGAACCAACAGGCCTACAGAGATAGCTATTATGTAAGAACCTTCTCTAACTTAAAAAGCAGTAGAATCCTTCTCTGGACTGTAGTAAATGGTAAAATTATTACTAACAAATAACAGCAGTCGGTAGGCTGTATAGAGAGGTGAAATGGGGGGAAAGTGGCAAATACTTCCTCTAGACCACAAAGGGTTTGACACAGCGATCAGTCCCATTCTCTCCCAAAAAAAACATTTGGCACTACAGATTTGGCAGAACCTACTTTCTATTTGCTTGGCTTCTAGCTATCTATCAAGAAAATCAGACTTCCGGTTCCGGTTCGTGGCGACTCCGGTCGTGTGAAGAGACTTGTCTCTCCACCGGCTGTGTTTTCTTCGCCGGTAGACCCCCTAGTGGGTCAAAAGTTGCTCTGGAGGGGCGACCACCGAGGAGGAGGCTTGCTGGTGACTGCGAGAGGGCGGCAGCTTCTTCCGCGGCTCCATCTAACTCCTTAGGGCCGACGGAGCAAAGATCGTCCTGCAAGATGGCCGATTCCTTAGCTGCACCAGCCGAAAGTTACAGGTACATCTAAGCATGAAAGACCCACCGCGGATGATCCGGGTGAGACCTCTCCTTCTCCTCTCTTCACCCTACTTGATTTTTTGCCTGTAAAAGCTCTGTTGGAATTAATTCCCTGCCTTGAAAGAGTAGCGTTTGTATGCGTGGGAAGAAAGGCGTCTGAATAAAAAGACAGAACAAGTAATTTCAATGACTATATTTTACTTTCATTTACTTTGGGGTACAAAAAAAATTTTTTTTAGAGCTTTACTATCACTTTAAACTGGAAGAATATTTTTTCCCATCTTTTCCTTTAAAAGAGAGAGAAAAGGAAAAAAATGGTGTCTGGGAAAGATTTTGTAACCTACTGAGGATATCTTGTGGCGAAAAGTTAATATTGCAATTATCTGTTTTTCTTTGGAGATGAGGTGGGCTTGACCTTCAAACTATTCTTGAAGAGAAAAGATAAGCTGATCCAGCTGTGGGAAATTGTGGAGGTGGATATTGTTTATATATAGCCTCCACTAAACGATAAAAGGGACTCTCTTCAATTACTACTAAAATGGAGAAACCTTATTTACAACTAAACTGTAAACTTATAGTGGAAAAAATTTATGAAGCTATTGAATAAGTATGCGCTAAAATGAAAGAGATTATTACAGAAATAAGAGCCAGAAGCCTTACTCCAAATTTTCCAAACCTTCAAACTGATCTCCAGACCTCATCTGACTATGCTATAAATCAAAATATACCAGAAGAAGAACTAATTGAGATTAAAAAGGAATCTATTCTACCTTATAAGCACTCCATCCATATTCTCGAGGATCAAAAAAACAAAGATTGAGACTGGAACTTTTGAAGCAATGAGGGTTTAATGACAAAAGAGCCACACGCCCATTACAGAGGACGGGGTGTTTTCTATTGACTCAAATGATATTACAAGCGACAAAGGGAGATTTACTTGCGGAGACAGAAGCTTTGTTATGGAAACCGACTTGGCACAAAAAGAAAGCCAGAATAAGACTGAAAAGAGAAATTTAAAACTATATGTAATGGATTAAAAGGCACTGTAGAAATATGGATTGATTTAAGGTTTAAGAGTTAGAAGCGAGAGAAAAATTGGTGATTACTAGAATATATAGGTTAAATAGATTAAGAATGTATTTTTTGGAATAATAGGTTTATTTGTATGAAAACTATTTTGTAATGGAATGAATGAAAATGGAAGAGGTTTTATAATGATTTGGATTGATTTAATAATTAATTGAGTATGTTAATTTAGTAAGATGATGCTTTGTGTAATAATATGGGTGTTTCTAGATATGATAACTATTTGGACGAGATTTGAATTTTGCCTAATGGACTGAAATGGTTTGAGGTTTGGTATTATTTTGTTTTGTTATAGAGGTAGACTGATTGATAGATGGTATATGTATAGGGTAGAGTTATATTTTATTTTAATTAGGATAAATATCGAGTAATGGAAGAAGAAATAAGAGAGATTTGTGATAAAATTAAAGATTTAGGAGATTAAGAACTAGAATACATCTGGAAGGAATACCCGAAGTGATAATATGTTTATTTAAGGTTAAAGTGGATTATGGTAATTGTAAATTAATAAAGTTTAAAAACAGGATTAGGATTTATAGAAATTTAATGTAGAAATTGATTATTTTAAATATATTATATTATCTGAGGGAAATAGAGAGGGAATATTTAATATATTTACTTGGATTATTTTATATGGATTTATTGTTGGATATTTGACCACCCCAGCACCACAGTGTGTCCTGAGCACTTTGTTATAAGAGTTAAAAAAACTAATAAAATTTGTTTTAAAAAAAAGAAAGAAAATCAGCTGACACCAATTGCTTCATTATTTATTTAATATTTAATTTTATTCATAGGAGGTCATAGAAATGTATTCCTCATGTTAGGGGCTAAGCAAGTAGGATTGTCCAGAAATTTCACAATAATCTTCAAATCCTTTATATTTGCCAAATCTGGTAGCTGATACCTCAATAACCAAGTTGTTTTTCTCTGTGGAAGACTAAAGTAGTTAAGCAAAATGTTATAGAAAACATAAGCTACTTACTGACTGAGATTTCTTCTTTTTCTTTTTTATTGCCCTGAAAAAACTTTGTTTTTCTTTATCCTTTAGCTGTTCAGAATGAGTATCATCAGCACTTTTCCTTAATGTGGAGAAAAAAAACCCCTTATATGTAGATATAATAAACTTTAGTATAATGAATTACATAGTGCACAATCTTATAGAAAGCTAATACATATGCATGAAAAATCTCCTCCCCATCAGCAGTGGGCTTGCTATTTTGAGGCTTCTCACAGTGATAGGTATGGTTTGATGAATCATACATTTTGATATGTGCTCTGATTCATAGCCATTAGAAGTCAAAGGAATTGTTAAATTTCCCAAATGCCAAGCTAATTGGTTAACATCCCAGAATTACAAAATCTCCTCCTTCAAGAAAAGAACATATTCTTGTGTCAAGCCCCATGTAGCTGGCAAACTAAGAAAGCAAGAATGCCCAGATTTTAGGAAAGCATCTTTAATGCTGTTTCAGAAAAAATAAAGTAGAATCTTGAAAACCCTAACTCTTGTGTGCTTAGGATGTAAAAAATATGACATTACTATAAAATGAAAGAAAAATTGTGCCTAGCTGATTTTATTTTGGGTAAGCTTATAAGAGGTCCGAGGATATCCCAGATTCTGAAAATCTAGTGCCGTGGTGGCGAACCTATGGCACGCATGCCACAGGTGGCAGGCAGAGCCCTCTCTGTGGCCACGCGCACCGTCGTCCCAGTCCTGGGCCTTCAGCTCAGTTTTATAAAACCTTTTCGCTTTAGATCTCCGCCGCCGTATGCACACAAAAAAAAGGTTCAATCAATCAATCAATTTCAACTTCTCGCGGGGAAAAAAAGATCTTGCAAAGTTGGGATTGATTGAACTTTTTAGTCCCACCTAGTCTGCCGTTACCACCGCAGCCACACCCACCCAATGGGCCACGCCCACCCAGCACCCAACCATACATAAGTGGTTTTGGGTTGCAGTTTGGGCACTCAGTCTCTAAAAGGTTCGCCATCACTGATCTAGTGTATAACCTCCAGAAGATAATGCTAGGCTAGAAAGCATCCTTAATAATAAAAAGGTCTGTTAAAAATGTCATAATTCCATTTGGTGAGCAAAGCTTGTAAAAATAGAATGCCTAGGGCAAGAGGCTGCCTGGAAATTGCAGAAGATATTACAGTAGCATGGCTCTTGAGACAAAGTTGAAGCATCAACCTGAACAATGAAGACACAAATGGGATCAGGACAATGAATACATTTGGATACAAAATAACTCCATTTTCAGTCAACTTGTTCAGACTTGACTTGAAAAGGGATGTTCTTAGCAAGCTGAATCAGCTGGGTATATTGTGCTCACAAATTTGGGAGTCTAACAGCAATAATAAAAAGACAAAATAAAAAACATTCAATAAGAAACAAGAAAAAATGATTCCAATCTAAAAACAACACCCATACAGTTACACAACTCCCTGGGCTCTAACCTTATATCTCAGTGCTTGGGGGAAAAGTAATCTCTTAATAGCTTTCTGGAAAGTTAAGAAAGTGAGGCCCTGCTGGATATCAAGGTAGTCTACTGGACAGGACTGCTATGGAAAAGGTATGCTTGCTAAGTCCCACTAGATCACATCATTTGAGGGAAGGGACCTGGAGTGTGCCCACTCTAGACGAAGTCCGAGTCTCCCTTCTCAAGCATATATGTGTGCATCAAAAGCTTGCCTGTGAAATAACAATAACGAGTCTTTGCAGGCTATGAGTCTTGTGCCATAGAAAAAGAGAATAAATGTTGATCTCATCATGGTCCCAATGAATATGTAGATTAAAAATCTCAAGTCAATCCACCACTGGAATAATTAGTAAATGCAAGGTGGAAGGCTGATACATAATATAAGTTGGCCATCAATTATATTTCAATTAAGTTTGGAAGGTAGATAGATTTAAAGATACAATTGATCTTCATGAAATAGGAAACTCAATAAAATTCCCAGAATCTATTAAACCCTGTTGGCAATTTCTGATTCCAATCCAAATTTTCAGTTTGTGACTACTGGATGAATTAATCATCTTAAATGAATTAATCAATAAGAAATTAGGAAATGTTACTTTGTTTCTATATTAACTTTTCTACTTCTATATAAACTAACTGTGGTTTACCTTTTATAAAGAAACTTACTTACCAGGAATCAAAAGCAGTTTGTCTCTTTGAATGGCTTGTTAAACTGCTTTCTGCAGGCAGTGCAGGTATTCTGTTTGAGGCACTATTGTCTAGAAATGTTCCTTCTGGGCGTGGTGATGGGACTACAAGAAGAAATATAAGGTTACACTGTATACATCCTCAATTATCTCTTTTTAAAAACCCAATAAGATGGTACATATTCATGCTTGGCAGAAGATTATATAGTTTACTCAACCTGTGACATTAAAATTTGTTTCTGTTTATTTCAATGTTGGGTTATGAATCATAATATTCTATCAGTATTGAAAAAAGAACAAAGGTCTAAAAGAAATTTGATTTCTGTAGTGTAATAGAGGAGTCTTAGTACATTAAGTTACCTTAGTGACTTAAGGCTTAAGTTGGAGAAAAATTATAGCAATTCATGTTCTGATAACTTTTTGTTTCAATCCATGTATAATGTATTATATGCATAGATATCAATGAAGATGATCTGGTTGTTGAATATACTCTAACTAGAATGGAGAACTATTTATTTTAATCTTATTCATCTCAGATTTGAACTCTTGCTATTTAACTTTACATAAAGGATGTTTTAAAGCTCAAGGATGTTTTCTAGAAAATTAATCATCATTGCTTTGCCCTGTGAAACTAATTCCAGAGAAAGGAAATGACTGTAACCATCCTCTACTGTTATTTTTTTAAATGCCTATAAAACCTGAATTTCTCCAAATACAAAAGAATCACAATGAGAAGGCAAGAAGGTCAGTGCAAATGTATCAGAGTTTTCTGCTGAATAAAATAAATAAAATAAAATCAGATGCTGATTTATAGCAATAGTGTCAACGCTGCTAACATTGGATGTTCTTGCTTTGACAAAATATGCAGACCCAGCCAAAGTGAGAATTATAATTGAGTGGCAGCCCCCAAAGACTCACAAAAAGCTTCAGAGCTTTTTAGGTTTTGCCAACTTTTATCATCAATTCATCCCCTCCTTTGCCGAGATTGCCCTACCCCTTACAGAACTACTCAAAACAGGCAAAGGAGGAGGAAAACCACAACCGGACCAGCCACTTACATGGACTATGAGCTGTCAAACAGCTTTTGAGAATTTAAAAAGACTATTTGCTGCTGAACCGGTCCTAAAGCACCCCTGCCCAGGGGAACCCTTTGTAATCCAAGCTGACGCCAGTGACGTGACAGTCGGAGCTGTATTACTGCAAAAGAACAAAAGTGGAGTTCTACAACCCTGCGCCTACACCTCTAAAAAATTTACTGAAAGCGAAAGATGGGCAATCTGGGAGAAGGAGGCCTTCGCAATTAGGTGGGGGCTGTTAAACTGGTGACACTATCTAGAAGGGAGCAAGGTGCCATTTGAAGTATGGACACATCACAAAAATCTAGAAGCACTGAAAACTCCCCACAAATTGTCCCCAAAGCAAGTGCAGTGGGCACAGTACTTTAACCGCTTCAACTTCACTGTAAACTACATACCGGGAGGAAAAAACTTCCTAGCTGATGCACTATCCCGATTACCCCAGTACAAAAGCGAACGCGAGGAGGTTAACGAGGCAATTATCTCCAACCCACAAACTGCCGCTCAACTCACGCCTCGCAGGTTCCCTAATCCTGATGACCCTGGGGTAAAGAAAATAAAAGAGGAGCTCCTCACCGATCAATGGTTCAAAGATAATCAAACCTCCCTAACATGCAGGGATGGTTTGGCTTACAAGGAGGGGAAACTGTATCTGCCTGAAGCTCTCCGTCTTAGTGCTCTCAAACACAGCCATGACGTAAAACAAGATATTTAAAATACTCTACACCTCATCCGCCGGCAATTCTGGTGGCCGTGTGTAAAACGAGATGTGGAAAACTATGTCAGGAGTTGTACTATATGTGCCACAATGAAAAGAATTCCAGGGAAACCCCCTGGGCTACTGCAACCAGTGGCAGACCCCTCTCAACCATGGGAAGAAATAGCTATGGACTTTATAGTAGATCTACCTGAAAGTGGGGGAAATACTGTCATCTGGACTGTGATAGACTTGATCTCGAAGCAGGCTCATTTCATCACCTGCAAAGGACTCCCATCTGCCCAATGACTGACTAAATTGTTCCTGAAACATATCTACCAGCTCCATGGCACCCCTAAGTGAATAATTTCAAACAGAGGGGTGCAGTTCACAGCAAAATTTTGGAAGAGTTTTCTTAAATTAATTGGATCATCTCAAGGCTTATCATCTGCTTTTCATCCAGCTACCAATGTGGCTGCAGAATCCACCAACAAAATGGTGGAGCAATATCTCAGATGCTACGTTTCCTACCAACAGACAAACTGGACTGACCTCCTCCCTTTCGCCGAGGTGGTTTACAATAATTCTGTTCACAGCAGCACCAGCTACATGCCTTTCACAGTAGCCACAGGAAAAGAGTTCAGCCCAATACCTGAATACCCTCAGGTGCCTCCCAGACACTTGATCAGTGGGTGAGGGGGTGGGAAGAAGTTTGGAGAAACACGAAAACTGCGGTTAAAAAAGAGAGACCTATAAAAAGCATGATGTGTTGGAGAAATCCAAATTACCAGACTCCTGGATAGATGCCATCATATCTCTTATCCCAAAAGAAGGCACAGACCCCAAACAGATTAAAAATTATAGGCCAATCTCGCTGTTAAATACAGATTATAAAATTTTTACTAACATAATGGCTGAAAGATTAAAGTTAATTTTACAAAATATAATACATCCAGACCA